GACACACTTGTCATACTCTCAGGACACACTTGTCATACTCTCAGGACACACTTGTCATACTCTCAGGACACACTTGTCATACTTCATGCTCTCAGGACACGAAAAGTAAAGGAGATTCTGACCAGAAGCTGATTTCGATTGGGTTTAAGCCGAGTGTAGCGACTCTCTGGCAGAGGCCCGGGCGGTACCCAAACTATGTTATGATTACCCTTCATGCACGTGGCAGTGGCCAGCTATACAGCTTAATGCGCGCACAGAAAATCATTCAAATTTGACGTAATAATGTAATAATTATGAATAATATAATAATAATAGTAATAATAATAATAATACCAATAATAGTAATAACAACTGACAATATTTGCTTTAAGATTAATCTAAAATAATTTGTCGAAGGAAATTCTGACAAATTTGTAATAATTTAATAAAAATTAATTAACATTTCTTAAAATTTCTGGCATGATGTTCTTGCCCCACCGGGCAAGTATATAGGCTTAGGCACTTGAAAAAATTAATGAGATTTTATCCAAATATCGATGCACTTTTGCACTTATCTGGGTCATTTCAACCAAGAAAAATGGCGTTTTATTGTTACTCGCAGTAATAAAATAAAGTGAGTCACTATTTGGACAATATGACCTGAGTCTGGGTCGAGATAGCTAAAATTATTCCGAAACTTATACTTAAAGAGAATTTGAAATTAATGAATTTCTTATGAAATTTATTTAAAAAAATTAATTAATTTCTTTTGAATTAAGGTGAAGGAAAAATAAGTTAATAATTATGTCAAAGTGTGAGCCATGTTTATACCATAAAAATAGTTTGTACACTCAAAAAATGAATGTATCATGTTGTTAAAATAGTGATACACTTTCTTTGCTTGGCACTGATACACCGCCCTTCTGTCAGAACAAAACTGGGTCAGGGTGACCCACATAATCATAAAAAGTGCATCGCTATATTAAGACTCGCTTATTTCGCTAGGTGATATTCTGACTCCTAATAGCGACTCAGCCTTCTGCACCAGGTGCCGCCCAGGACTCGGGGAGCGCGTAAATCAGCCGCTAATGAGCGAGTCCAAAAAGGACTCGTTCATTTTTAGCGCATTTTTTCATTTATGGAAAAAATGCACTATTGTACTCGCCATGTCCGTCCGTCCGTCTGTCTGTCTGTCCGTCCGTCCGTCCGTCTGTCCGTCTGTCTGTCCGTCCGTGACTTCACGTTTATGTCGACGAGAAAATGCGCTCTCTGTCACTCACTGCAGTGAGTACTGAGTTATATTTTTTAAGTAATATTTCGTCAATTTTGAAGTTTGTAATAGAGTGAATGGTATTATTTTAATAAATAGATTGGTTATGTTGATTTTGTAATCTATAATCTAAACATTCATCACAATTTATCACAATTCATCAAAGTTCACCACAATTCATCACAGTTCACCACAATTCATCACAATTCATCACAATTCATCACAGTTCACCACAATTCATCACAGTTCACCACAATTCATCACAATTCATCACAGTTCACCACAATTCATCACAGTTCACCACAATTAATCACAATTCATCACAATTCATCTCAGTTCATCACAATTCATCACAATTCATCACCTCGAGCAGCTTGCGGAGGGAGTAGTCGTCCGCGTACGTCATCATCTTGAGGGTGATGAGGGAGCTGCCGCCCGCCTGCAGTGGTGATGAATGCCATGCATTAATTATGTATGTCGTGAATGTGATGAATTAATTATGAATATGGTGAATGTCACGCATTAATTATGAATGCAATGAATGTGATTACTGAATTCCGACTGTGATGAGTGTGCTGAAGTAATGACTTAGTTATGAATGGGATTAACCCAGTTAAAATTTAGGGCAGGGAATAGAGCCTGTCTCTTATACACATCTAGATGTGTATAAGAGACAGATCATGACCAANGTTACTAGGGTTACTGGGGTAATAGTTACTAGGGTTACTGGGGTAATGGTTAGTAGGGTTACTGGGGTAATAGTTACTAGGCTTAGGCTTACTGGGGTAATAGTTACTAGGGTTACTGGGGTGATAGATGTAATATAAGTAATATTAAGGGCCACGATATAAATGATATTAAGGGTTATAAGTCGTAAAAACTAAGGAGAAAAACCCTTACTTCTCCGGCTCCACTAAGGGCACTTGGTCAACTCCGGGCAAGGAGCAGCGCCTTAAGTCCTCGTCCTTAGTTATCTCTGTTGAGATAACATACTGAGAAACATGAGTGAGTCATATTATCCAAATAGTGACACACTTTCGTACCCACAGTACGTGCTGGAAGCGGACGTAGCCCTGATAAGCCCTTTTGTAGGGCCAAACTGGGTCAGGATGACCCACTGCAAATTGCTTATATTATAATGATATAACATTGGAACTATGAGTGATAGTTATATAATAATTTAAGTTGAACATATGTTAAATGAAGTGAAATATTTATTAATATGTACATAATGTTATGTAGTTATATATGAAGTCGATATTTTTCATAATGAATATTTAACTTCAAATGCGACATGGCATCCGTTACCCTGAGATTCAAGATGGAAGAAATGGATTTAAATGCGACATGAGATTCATGACGGAACCTTGAGATTCATGACGGAAGTAATGGATTTAAATGCGACATGGCATCCGTTACCCTGAGGTTCAAGAAGGAAGAAATGGATTTAAATGCGACATGGCATCCGCTACCCTGAGATTCAAGAAGGAAGTAATGAATTTAAATGCGACATGGCATCCGCTACCCTGAGATTCAAGATGGAAGAAATGGATTTAAATGCGACATGGCATCCGCTACCTTGAGATTCATGACGGATGTAATGGATTTAAATGCGACATGGCATCCGTTACCCCGAGATTCAAGATGGAAGTAATGGATTTAAATGCGACATGGCATCCGTTACCCTGAGATTCAAGAAGGAAGAAATGGATTTAAATGCGACATGGCATCCGTTACCCTGAGATTCATGATGGAAGTAATGGATTTAAATGCGACATGGCATCCGTTACCCCGAGATTCAAGATGGAAGTAATGGATTTAAATGCGACATGGCATCCATTACACTGAGATTCAATATGAAAACAATGGATTTGAATGCGACATGGCATCCGTTACCATGAATAAAATATATATTCAGATTTGAAATGCCTAGCTCCTTATCGAACCCGGTGGAAGTCTAGTAGCTTCTTCAAACTATCGCCAGTCATGAAAAGATCCTCCTTAATTTTTCAGCGTTACAAAACATTCGTAATTTTTTGATAACGTAAAACATTTTCAACAAAAATTGTTTAACTTGATATTTTGTGTTTTGTTAAAATTTTATAAGAATCAAATGATTAGAATATGAATAATATTAAGGGCCACGATATAATTATATTAAGGGTCACGATATAAGTAATAATAAGGCTTAAAGGTAGTAAAAATTAAGGAGAAAAACCCTTACTTCTCCGGCTCCACTAAGGGCACTTGGTCAACTCCTGGCAAGGCGCAGCGCCTTGAGTCCTCATTGTCCTTAGATGTGTCTGTAGAGATATTACACTCAGAAACATCAGTAAGTCATATTGTCTAAATAGTGACACACTCACTTACAAATAACACGTGATAAGAGCGGACGTAGCACTGATACGCCCTATTGCCGGGACAAACTGGGTCAGGGTGACCCACATCGATTGTATTCTAAATATTTAACATAGCAACTGTATTAATGATAGCTAAATAATGGCTCAATTTTAATAATGTTAAATGAAGTGAAATATTTATTAATATGTACATAATGATAGTTAACTATGTTGTCAATATTCGTCATAATGAATATTTAATTTTAAATGCGACATGGCATCTGTTAGCATGAGATTCAAGATGAAAGCAATGGATTTAAATGCGACATGGCATCCGTTACCCTGAGATTCAAGACAGAAGTAATGGAGTTTAAATGCGACATGGCATCCGTCACCTTGAGATTCATAATGCAAGTAATGGACTTTATATGCGATGTGGCATCCGTTACCCTGAGATTCAAGATGGAAGTAATAGACTTTAAATGCGATGTGGCATCCGTTACCCTGAGATTCAAGATGAAAGTAATTGATTTTAAATGCGACATAGCATCCGTTACCCTGAGATTCAAGATGGCGGATGAGACAGGATCGCGGTGTGGCTGGTACGACGCAGCCTCGCAGCAGTCGGTGGCTGGACCACGACAGCCAATCTGCCACCTCCACCTTTTAACAAATTAGGAATATATTTCCTACTCGCTAACTAAATTACCCTTTTGAGACGAAAATAGATTGAATAATAATTTGTATTTAACTAAAATTCAGGTAGAATATGCTATGAGAAATACTAAAATGACATCACCTCACCATGATATTGAATTCTTGTTTCATCAACTCGTTTCCACCGCTCATCTCCGCTTCTCTTAACTTGAATTTTTTATATTCGTCGTACAAATTTCCATTATTATATTTATTTTCTTTTGTTTGTTCAGTTTCTTTCCCCTCTTCCCCATCTGGAGGGAAAGGGGTCCCGTAGGGGACAAAGTCAGAGGGACGGGGGAAGGAGCGAGTGGTAGGTACCACGGGGAGCGTGAAGTGGGTGAGTACCTCCTCCAGGAGGGGGCGGGGAACCAGCGTGGCGCCCCCAACCACGAAGTGGTCCACCCGCCTCAGGTGGGACGCTAAGGGCAGGGTCTCGAAAAAAGATGGCGGAGCATACTTATTCTTGCGGTTCTTTACTTCGGGAATCTTTTTTTGGTCTTCATCTGGATCGACATCGTGGTTGCCAGCTAATCTTTCTTCACGGTTGCCAGCTAGGTTTTCTTCGCGGTTGCCAGCTAGGCTTTCACCACGGTTGCCAGCTAAGGTTTCTTCGCGTTTGCCAATTAGGATTTCTTCGCTGTTAGCAGCTTGGGTTTCTCCACGGTTACCGAGGGCAAGGTTTCCTCCAACCTGCTGAGCTGAACGGAAGAGTTACTCGAATTAGAGGAAAAGAAATAGAAGAATCCGGATAAAAATCATGATAAATTAGCGTTAATGAAGAACATGATTAGTAAGATCCAAACATTCGAGAAAGAAAACGTTGACAATGACAACAACAACCCATTTAATGGATGTGACTGATAGTTAGAATGGATAATTTCTGATGTTGCAATGAATTTTCAAATTTGGTGGCATGATGAATCTGTGTTCTTGACCAATATTGCATCTTTGGGGGCCAGTATATCCTATTAGCGGGTTAACATTGTGAATAATAACCCGCTATTAACCCGGTTAATATGTGAATATTAACATTTTCATTTTGGTGGCAGGGTGGCCCAGTGGTTAAAGTTCAGAGTCCTAGGATTGGCGCAGAGAGGCGCGGGTTCGATCCCAGCTCTGTGCGCCAGTTTCTGGTCAGAATCGGCGAGGAGGCCGGGCAGTTGTTAAGCACAGCAGAATTGTAGCAGTGAGTTGCGCGTTCGAGACCACAACAAGCTGTGTATGTTCTGCGATGTTATGAATCGGCGACAGGCCTACGGCCTAATAAACGCTGAAACCGCTATATTATAATATGTATTGGCTTTTGGGCCAGTATTTAAAATGATAGGCCGAAATAATGGCTGTGCCCAAGCCATGGGGCTAATAATTTAAAATAATACAGTAAATAACAGCGCGGTTGCAGGGCTCCGACATTGAGGCCCAGCCGTTATTAAAATGCAAGTTGGACCCAGAAACTTACTGGGCATCTGGATGGGCCAGTGGCCCTGGGACAGTGGGTTGCTGGTGCTGATGCAATATACCGACGGGTCCAGGGCCAATATTGGCTGGGTCCTCATGAAAAAACTGAAAATATATTCCCATATTAAATTATGCAATTTTAAATGGTATTATTTTGCTCTTTTATTCTAAAATGGGACATGACATCTCTCACTCACACGCAACATTTCATTTCAAACTTTAAAGACTTTTACTTTGAACATTTATTTTTTTAATGTAATTTTTTGCTACTTTCGTTTATAGCTTCGCGTTGAATATTTTAATTTTTTTCCTTGACTTTTACCTGGCGAAGTCCGGAGTAAAAACGTGACTGTCGTCGGTGATGATGAAGTTCTCGGCGTGCGGGTTGCCATCAAGAAAATTACGCAGGATCTTTTTGAAACGCCGAAAAATTTCGCATTTTCCTACATTTTCATTTTGGTGTTCATCTGGAACGCTTTTTGAACTACTTTGTGCGTGAATTTTTGATGAAAATTGAGGGTAAATATTTTGTTTATTTTCGTTTTCAATGTTTTCGGGTTTTCGGTGTTTATGATTTGTTATGAGGTCTCCCGTTTGGGGTAATTTTTGGAGTAAATGCCTCATATTCGGGGAAATTTTCTCATTTTCTTGAAAATATTCCCCCATAACCTCAAGTTGTTCGTGTTCAATAAAGTATTTCTGAATATTATGCGCAGTAAGGGACGTATTTTCGGACAAAAAGCGATAGAAGGAATTTTTGAAGCATATTTCGTACATAGAATTATGAACGTCGTTGTGAAATGGGGAAAAAAGGTTTAAAGTTGTTTTTCGATCTGTTAGCTTGGGCTCAAAATCCACCAGCTCGCTACTGTTTGCATTCCTGTTCAAAAACCGAATTTTTCGAGGAATTTTTTCAAAATTTTCCATGGAACACGACCCGAAAAAAATTTCCGATTTTGACTTCATTTCCTCATCTGGCAAATTTTCTTCGGAATTCGTAGCCGGGAAAAATTTATTTCCGAAACTCTTGAATGGGATGAATTTTTCTCGAAATTTTTTCGAAATCGAAAATTTTCTTTTGATGCCGGACACGATACTGTTTTCACTTTGAAAATTTGTAAAAAAATTGAAATTTTCGACGTCGATGACAGCAACGCCAAATTTTTCGACTTTTTCACGGTATAATTTTTCACTTTCTGAGTCCAGGAACGCAACCGAAATTTTTGCGGAATTTTGCGAAGTTCTTTCCCGTAGACTTTCCAGAGACCTGAATTACGAAAAAATTCCTAATAAATGAATATTTTCGGCAAATTTTATCAGAATTCAGTTAGAAATTTATCAAAAAAGTTAAGAATTTTTATCAAACATTTTTGTAAAAAAAACTATTTCGGGTTGAGGTTTGCAAGGCAGAATAATTCTTCCCGAGCGTCCAAATTATTCCTTCAGTAACTAATGAGTATTCCTCAGGAAACCAGAATACCTCAGAATCCCGGATTCCCCGCTGGTTCGAAGATCGCGAATGCCAGAAAAATTCCGAACAGAAAGGAACAGCCGAAAACCTGGAGTACCAATAGCAAAATTAATGATATACAATGATAGATGCTTATTGTTTTTTTAGTGCGAATGATATTAATCATTTCTATATTTATTCATCATTTTACTTAAAATAAAAATCGCAAGAACAACAGTGATTAGAGGCTTCGATAAGCAAAATCATTATTCATCATTCTCGGAAATATATATGGATCAAGCTATGGGATGATATATATGATTCATACCTTGCATACCCCATGAAATATGACTCATACAACCCTCACAATAAACAGGTATATAAGTATATAAGTAATTCGTAAGTAATCAAAATTTTAAGATGTTTATTATTAATAATAATATGAATTTTAATAATTATAATAACATGTACTGGAGGTTTGATATCAATATTCACTATAAGCGGAATACAGCGAAATTCATAATAATATTGATTATATGATTACTAGAAAAAATATATAGTGAAACAATAATGATATTTAATGGAGATTATGATAATATTCACAAAGTTATTCATAATTATTTTATAATAATATTTATTGTCATATTAATCAAGATAATATGTACATGAAAAACAATAATATATAGAGAGACGTTGATGGAAAAATTCACAGAAAATTTCAATATAAAAATGTATCGTAAACATAATGTAAAAAAACATGAATGACAAAATTATAAACTGCCTATTTTAATGACTTGAATTAATAATAAAATCTACTTTAATTAAAAACTTCAATTCAATCCTATATTTCACTCACCGCAGCCCAGCCCGAAATTCGACCAAGAAAATTGAATGAAAAATGAAGCCGAAAATTTCGCTGCCAACTCCGTAGAGTTTTGAGCTTCTGTGCGAGTTGGTAGTCCAGGCCTCCCATTGGTCGAAATTTATGAACGAAAATACGAGTACTGCGGCGTAGTAAAATTAATGAATGGAAGTACGAGTACTACGACGCAGTGAAATTTATGAATGGAAATAACATTATTACACTTT